AAAAAATATGGCCGTGTAGGTTTTTTTTAGCCCTACACGCCCATATATATATATATATATTTTTTTTTTCATGCGTTAGGAAAAAAAAATAAAATCGTGCACCAAACTCGGCTGGTCGGCCGTGGCCGAACCTGGCCGATTCGGCCGATTTCCCCCCCCCGGCCACGGCCGGGCGTGCAACATAGCCTGGCGCAGACCGTCCCCTTTTTGGGGTCGCCAGGTCAGTTGAACTAAGGGAGCAGAGCCACTTGTCAATCCCTGGTCTTGACACGTGTCGTCTCCGATACCAACCTCATGCCCAGCGCGACTTCCTGATCGGAGTGGGATGGGGGCCCGAAAGTGCGAAAAAGGGGTGTGCCAGGATTGTAGGAAAGTGGGGGTGGAGTTCCAGGTCGGAACTGGGTGTCGAGTTCCAGGGGTAGAGGTGCAAGTGTCTTCTGGCTCAGAGTTGGGGCGATTGTCGATCATGCGGCCTGGGCCGGGGTGGGGTGCTACGGGTGTCTTTGTGGGAGTGCTCATACCGCTGTCGGCCGTCGCAGGTTTCGGGGTCCGACGAAGACGAGCTGGGTTCTCGTCGCTCTGTCCTGGGCTGGGTTCGTTGCATGACCCTCGCCTGTTGATACTCTTCGAGCTGCCGACACTCTGAGCACGGCGGGCGGGGCCAGAACCGGGCTATGGAATCCCAGGGGATCACGAGTAAACGGTGGTAGGTGAGGACGGTATAGTAGGGAGGGAAGTCAGTGGTGATGGCATCGAACCCTGGGGTTAGAAGATATTGCTGGTTTCGGTTGTCGGGATAATCGGGAAACCGCGGGTCTCGGTTGATTGCCAGCTGGAATTCGCCCCTGCACAGTCGCTCGTTTTCAGACCGGCAAGGGTACTCGAGGGGCCCAGGGTTCTGTAAGTGGTGATGTTGTCGGATCCGCTGACGACAGATTTGTTCCCTCTCCCAATACGTTTGGTATACCGGGTCCCTTAGTTGATGGCAAGTCTTACACGTGCGTGCACACCGGCCAGTTGATCAGATCCTAAACTTCCCAAATAAGCAAGGAGGGATCCGTCAACTTACCGGTTCAATCCACGCAGATAGTTCCCTTAGGCAATCAATCTCGTTCCCGGGGTGGAAAGGACTATTGGATATTCACGAGCATACATACCCAGCAATTTCCGTAATCATTGATCAAAAAAACAACTCGGAGAAAAAGGATACGAGCTCATTCATCATCATTCGTGCATACATACATACAACAAAAAGTTCGAGATGATTTACTCGAGAGATTTCAAAAAGGATATCGCAGCAAAAAGAGAAAATTGACCAACGTCGAAATCAAAATTTATACAGACAGCAGGGAGAATAGACACTATTCCTCCATATCCCCGTCTCTCTCTCTCTCTCTCTCTCTCTCTCTCTCTCTCTCTCTCTCTCTCTCTCTCTCTCTGCGGGCAGTCCGTCGCGGCCACGCATCAACCCCGCGCACTCAACGCCAGCTGGTCGGATTGCCCGACTCTCTACGCACCGTCTTTCTGCTCGTTAGCCGATCCTCTCGACCGCGCTAACTCCCAAGTAGGTTAGAGAGAGAACTAATCACACTTGCGAAATTTATAGCATGCATGCTTGTGCGAGGGATATGGGATTAGCACCAAGTGATGAGAAAGAGAAGGGAGGGAGTGCCTACGTCTGCATGCCCCGGCCTCGGCGCGGGGGACGAAGCCTCTCTCCACGCATCGAACCGGGCATGCAACCGTGGGAACCACTCAGAGTAGAGGAAGAGTGTGCATGCAAAGACGAGGCGGAAAAGAAGGAAAAAGGCCATCAAGAACAAGATGATTACGGTTGCAATTACGCCCGCCAAAAACTACAGTTACACACTGGATTAAGGCGCAGATGGATTCAGAGCCTAAACCCTGTCGGGTCAGGGCGCGTGCGAGCAAGAAGCGTCGTGCCGCCAAATTACAAAGTGCCTAAATTCCTAGTCTAAATCCTAATTGCAAGAGAAAGTCCCGAAGGGAAAAAAGAAGGAAAGAAAAGAAAAACAATTCCGAGAGCCTGCGGGGAAGGTTCGACCTTAGTTCAAATTTAAAAAAAAATGAAAATCCCTGCGCGCTGATCGCGCCAAAATTCCTCGTGCGCATAGCAGAACAAGAAAGAAGCTATGGCAACCGTTATTTCTCGCGCTCGCTAGGGCGCCATTACTTAATTGTCGGCGCGGGACCTTCCCGGCACTGGCCCGACAACTCCATCGAAAACGAAAAAAGAAGTGAGGGCATCCAGGCAACTTGCCCCTCCGATCCCGCTTGCGCCCCGTCACCCATCAAGACCTTTCCGTTTCCTCACAGTAGCCCAGCGCAGGAAGTCGCACGATTACAGAAGATAGTTTGTCACAACGCCCTTTCCACTCCCATTCGTCAGAATCAAAAGGTAGGGCTCTACCGGGGTGGACATTTCATATGCATAGAATCCCGTATCCTCAGATCCTACCACTCTAATTCTAGTGAGTCCTTCCTCTTGACTTGTACGGTCCAGGATAGGAGCCCTCTTTAGGGGAGTCCATCTAGCCCCTGGAACGTCCGGTTCGAAGGTCTGCAACCACATACCTTTGTGGGTGGCATCGAGTACTCTGTAGATAACCATCGGGATTTGGTTCGGGGTGGATTGAGTCACCCGATCGTGGGTCCTTATCGATGGTCCATGTTGCAACGTAACCACCCATGGTGGTGGGACTGCTGAACGGAGTTGGTGCAGTTTGTCATGCAGCCTTTTCATTTTTT